TCTTCTGTGACCATTCCAAAAACTGTCCATGAAGCTTTAGCCCATCCTGGTTGACGTCAGGTCATGTTAGATGAACTAAGTGCTCTTCATAATAGTGGAACTTGGGAATTGGTCTCGTTACCGTCTGGAAAATTTGTTGTTGGTTGCAGGTGGGTGTTTGCTATCCAAGTTGGACCTGATGGTACTATTGATCGCCTCAAAGCTCGTCTTGTGGCCAAAGGTTATACTCAAATTTTTTGGTTGGATTATGGAGATACCTTTTCCCCTGTGGCAAAAATGACTTCTGTTCGTTTATTTATCGCCATGACCGCTCTTCAACAATGGCCTCTTTATCAACTAGATGTTAAAAATGTTTTCCTCAATGGTGATTTGCAAGAAGAAATCTATATGGAGCAACCTCCTGGGTTTGTTGCTCAGGGGGAGTCTTCTAGGATGGTATGTCGTCTTCGCAAATCCCTATATGGCCTAAAACAGTCTCCTAGGGCCTGGTTTGGAAAATTTAGCAAGGTTGTTCAACAATTTGGTATGACTCGGTGTGAAGCGAGATCACTCGTCTTTTATCAACACTCAAGTGCTTGGATGTGTTTACTTGATAGTATATGTTGATGACATCGTTCTTACAGGTAGTGACAACCATGGCATCTCTCAGTTGAAACAACATCTTTGTCACCATTTTCAGACCAAAGATCTTGGCAAACTTAGATATTTCTTGGGTATTGAGGTAGCACAGTCCAATGATGGTATTGTTATATCTCAGAGGAAGTATGCCATAGATATTTTAGAGGAAACTGGGTTGATGAATTCAAAGTCTGTTGATACGCCCATGGATCCCAATACTAAACTTTTACCAAATCAGGGGGAGCTTATACCTGATCCTGAGCAGTATAGAAGATTGGTTGGAAAATTGAATTATCTTACAATTACTCGTCCTGACATTTCCTTTGCAGTCAGTGTGGTAAGCCAATTTCTTAATTCCCCATGTGAAGATCATTGGAATGCAGTCATTCATATCTTAAAGTATATTAAAGGATCTCCTAGAAAAGGATTGTTATATGATTCTAATAACCATACAAGAGTTGTTTGCTACTCAGATGCTGATTGAGCAGGATCTCCTTCGGATAGAAGATCTACATCTGGATATTGTGTCTCTATTGGTGGTAACTTGGTCTCATGGAAAAGTAAGAAACAAAGTGTTGTGGCAAGATCTAGTGCAGAAGCAGAATATAGAGCTATGCCCTCAGCTACTTGTGAACTTGTTTGACTCAAGCAATTGCTTAGAAAGTTACAATTTGGAGATGTCACTCAAATGTCACTTGTGTGTGACAATCAGTCGCTCTTCATATTAGTTCTAATCCTGTCTTTCATGAGAGGACCAAACACATTGAGATTGATCTGTCATTTCATTCGAGAAAAGATTATGTCCGGAGACATCAAAGCTGAGTTTGTTAACTCAAGTGATCAGTTAGCAGATATTTTTACTAAATCTTTACGGGGTCCTAGAATTGATTATATTTGTAACAAGTTTGGCACATACGATTTGTATGCTCCGAGCTTGAGGGGAGTGTTAGATATTGTTTAGATATTATTTAATATTGTTAAGATATTGTTAGATATTAAACATAATATCAAACAATATCTTCTGTTTATTCTGTTACTTTCAGTTACTCTTTTAGTTGTATCTCTCTACTATAAATAGACTACCCTATGTGTGATTTATACACAAGGGAGATTAATCCCAAACTCTATTTCTTCTATATTCAACAACATCATTTAAATAAATTGATATCAAAAGACTTAGTTGTTGGTTTACCTAAGTTAAAGTTTGAAAAAGATAGGTTATGTGATGCATGTCAAAAAGGTAAACAAGTGAAATCATCATTTAAATCAAAGAGTGTCATTTCCACATCAAAACCATTAGAATTATTACATTTAGACTTATTTGGTCCTTCTAGGATAAAAAGCTTTGGTAGAAATTATTATGGACTTGTAATTGTTGATGACTTTTCTAGATATACTTGAACATTTTTCTTGACAATGAAAAGTGAAGCTTTTAAGGTCTTTAGAAAGTTTGCAAAGCAAATTCAAAATGAGAAAGACCTAAGAATTAAAGTTTTAAGAAGTGACCATGGTGGTGAGTTTCAAAATGAAAAGTTTGAAAATTATTGTGAGAAAAATGGAATATTGCATAATTTTTCTACTCCTAGGACTCCCTAACAAAATGGTGTAGTTGAAAGGAAAAATAGGTCACTAGAGGAACTTGCTAGAACAATGCTAAATGAATCAAATGTTCCTAAATACTTTTGGGCTGATGCGGTTAGTACTGCATGTTATGTTTTGAATAGAATGCTCATTAGGCCAATTATAAAATCAACTCCCTATGAATTGTTAAATGGTAGAAAGCCTAATGTTGCTCATTTGAAAATATTTGAATGTAAGTGCTTTGTGTTAAATAATGGAAAGGACAACTTAGGAAAATTTGACTCAAAAGCCGATGAGGACATTTTTCTAGGTTATTCATTAACTAGCAAAGCTTATAGAGTGTTTAATAGAAGAACTTTAAATGTTGAAGAATCTATACATGTTACTTTTGATGAGATTGTAGACCTTGGGGGAAATCCTCTTGAGTCAAATAAAGAACTTGCAGGTGATGATGAGTATATAAGAGAGGCTCTTGATGAATTGTATTTGGAAGAAAATGAGTCTTCTCAAACACCTGAATTAGCAAAAGAATGACAATCACCAAGAGGACTTTCAATGGAAAATATTATTGGTGATATCTCAAAAAGGGTAAGAACTAGAAATATGATTAATTTCTGCATGTCTGTAGCTTTTGTGTCACAGATAGAACCCAAAAATGTTGAGGAAGCGCTTAAAGATGACCAATGGTGCATAGCTATGCAAGAGGAACTCAATCAATTTGAAAGGAATCAAGTCTGGGAATTAATTCCAAGAGAAGAATCACATCAAGTAATTGGAACTAAATGGGTATTTAGAAACAAACTTGATGAAGATGGAAATATAACAAAGAATAAAGTCAGACTTGTTGCCAAATGTTACTGTCAGGAGGAAGATATTGATTATGATGAAACTTATGCTCCTGTTGCCAGGTTAGAGGCTATACGCCTACTTCTTGCTTATGCATCATTGATAAAATTTAAATTATATCAAATGGATGTTAAGAGTGCATTTTTGAATGGTTTTATTAAAGAAGAAGCATATGTAGAGCAACCCCCTAGATTTGAAGATTTTAGTTATCCTAATCATATTTTTAAATTAAAGAAAGCATTATATGGGTTGAAACAAGCTCCTAGGTCTTGGTATCAAAGGCTAAGTAGTTTTCTAACTTCAAATGATTTTTCTAGAGGAAAAATTGATTCTACTTTGTTTATAAAGAAAGTAAAAGAACATATCTTATTGGTCCAAGTATATGTTGATAATATTATTTTTGGATCAACTGATAATTCTTTGTGTGTAGAATTTGCTAAGATAATGCAAGGAGAGTTTGAAATGTCTATGATGGGAGAATTAACATTCTTCCTTGGACTTCAAATCAAACCAAATACTGCAAAGAGATACTCAAAAAGTTTGGAATGGACACTTCAAAGGAAGCTAACACACCCATGGGAACTTCATGCTATTTAGACAAGGATGAATCAGGTTTAAAAATTAATCAATCTATGTATAGAGGTATGATAGGTTCACTGTTATACTTAACTGCAAGTAGACCTGATATTATGCATTCTGTCTGTGTGTGTGCTAGATTTCAGGCATGTCCAAAAGAATCTCACCTAACTGCAGTAAAATGTATTTTAAAATATTTAAAAGGAACTACTGGTTTTGGTTTATGGTATCCATCTGAAGCTTGTACTAGTTTAATAAGTTATTCTGATGCTGATTATGGTGGATGCAAAATAGATAGAAAGAGTACTAGTGAGACATGTCACTTATTAGGATCATCTTTAGTATCTTGACATTCTAAGAAACAGGCATGTGTTGCTTTATCCACCACTGAAGCTGAATATATTGCAGCTGGTAATTGTTGTGCTCAAATTTTGTGGATGAAACAACAACTAGAAGATTATAGTATATTTCTAAATGACATTCCTTTGATGTGTGATAATACAAGTGCAATCAATCTCACTAAGAATCCAGTAATGCACTCTAGGACCAAACATATAGAAATTAGACATCATTTCTTGAGAGATCATATAAGTAAAGGAAAATGTAAAATTGAGTATGTTGATACAAAGCATCAATTAGCAGATATTTTTACTAAGCCTCTTCCCAAGGATAGATTCTATGATCTTAGAAGAGACTTACGAATACTAGACATTGCCTAAGTTCTGCTTAAATAAACAGCTTTTGCATGATTGTAATGTTATATATCTCTTTGTCTGTAATGACGTTTCTTTATGAAATGAAATTTGTATTCTTTTATTGTTTTGTTTGAGGGGGAGTTATTTCCAAATTATGCATATTTTGAGGGGGAGCTCTTAATTTTTGATCATAATCAAAATAGGGAGAGAAATATTTAAAGCCTCTTATGATTGAATTTAAATATTATCTGGTATGTTTAATGTGTTTGTTAGTATGACAGATAAAACAGGTTATTACAAGGCTTTAAAAGAAAAATTTTGATCATCATCAAAAAGGAGGAGATTGTTGAACATACACAAGGACTTAATGTTGAACTTACATGGACATGAAGCTTGTTAATTTTGATGATGATTCAAGAACAAAGAACTTAGAGAGTTGAAGACTTGTATTGTTGTGTAATAACTCTGTTTTGATGAGTTTGAGTCTGTAATATTAGAGTCTAAGATAGTCGGTACATAATCTACTCTTTGTGTAATTGTGTTTTCATTTTCCAGAGTCAGCTAAAATAATTATGCCAATTCATCACAAGGAAAAATAAAAACAAAATTAGAGGTGCTTCAGGTAAAAGAAGGTGAGTTACATACACATGTGTAGTTCTACAATACCTGAAATATCATATCAGTCTAAAAATCATACCCATAAGGAATGTCTCTGTTTCCCATTAATTTTGTAAACGATGGATCATCCATTTCTGGTATGTGTGGGGGGCTTTTTCTTGTAATAATATCTTTGTATTGAGGATCACTATTGGGCCAGAACCACAAGATATCATTCTGCACCATACTTGGGTAAGAAGCTACACATGATTTTTTGGAAGTATGAATCTGCACATTTTGTCAGCAAAATTTGATTATCAGATTGTCCCATTGGCATGTATATGAAGCTAGCATATGAGAGTATTTTAGGCAAGAGAATGACAAGGATTAAACAATGGACGAAACTAAATATGATTGGTTTAAAATGACTTTTAGAAAGTATAGTCAACTTACACTTATGTAAGAACAAGTTGTCATACATAAGTGTAACTTACATGAAAATAAACTACAAATCTACTGACACATAACATCAGATCAACAAAAAGGAGGAAGAGTGACATGCCTTGTGGCCAAGCATTAGTGAAATCTAAAACCAACGAACTTAATGAGATAGTACACCACCAGTCCACTCACAAGGCACTACTAACGTTTCAGATATGATCACACCTTCAATGTTGTAAGTTTCAAAACAGGAAATTATGACAAGCTAAAATTAACGGCCAAGAAATGAGTAAATGGTGCATGCAAATCAGAATCTTTTGATTGCAAAAAGGCCTGAAAAGTAAGCATTTTCCAGTGTGTTCTGTGCGCAGTTCAGAAAGGAAGCATAAAAATGTATTGAATTTAGAAATTAGAAGTTATATTACATAAACATTCATTAACTACAATTTATGATGAATAGAGGAATTACCGGAGGGCCATCAGGGGGTGCCTGGGGAATGAACTTGCAGTCTCCTTTGCTATTGAAACACCAACCATGATACACACACTGCAACCGGCCCCATTGATCAATCCTTCCATCAGACAAGGGTGCTAATCTGTGAGGACAAGCATCATCATGAACCTGCCATGCACCCTCATTCCTATCCCATCACACAACCACATCAATGCCCAACACCGTCTTCCCATGAGGTTTCCTCTTGTCAAGGTCACAAATTGGCATCAAAGGGTACCACTGAGAGTACCAATCAAACTTTTCTGCTTGGCTTTCAAATTCCAGCTCAGCCTCTTGGTTGCTAGATTCTGTCAATGGAGGGGGAGACAAGGCAGTGAAAAGCTTGGATTTTGAAAAGCCCCTAAGGGCCAAAGACATTGGTGAATTCACATGGTTGCTAAAGAATATGGATTTCCTAAGTGAGACTGGTGTTTCAGGTGCTGTTGGGATGTGAAGTGTGCCAACAGAAAAAGCGCACACAGCTTCCATGTTCCTCTCCGCAAACCAAAGGAACAAGAGTACAAGAGGAGAGGAATCTAGCAAAGCAATACACAATGAACACCCCAAATTACATACTTCAACTCAAAACTAGAGGCTCATGTTTTATGTTTATTTTTACGTGATAGGCTGGCTCCAAGGAGAAGTCCATGTGTTGCCTCTTGTCATCATCAACCTCGTGATGTTGACTTTGTTGACCTTCAATGAACTTTGTATAAGTACCTTATCCCTTCGTGGCATTTGATGAATTATCACAAAACCACGTGGATGATGGAGAGCTTGGAGTTATGGATGGATTACGGACAAGAACAATGAAAGACTATAATCAATCACCTAAATGGTTCAAAAATCAATTGTATAACTTTCAATGGTGTCGGTTATTAGTTAATATCAATTTAATTATGACTAGTCTCCCAGTTTTACTGTCTTCTAGAAAGTAAATAAATATTTTGAAAATAAATACAAATCCAATAAAATTATGACACTTTGTTACCATCACTACACTATAAGTAAAATTTGCATTATTAAATTTAATAATATTTTTATTTTGTATATTTAAAATTTATTTTAGATTTTGACAAATTTAAATTCAATCAAGCAAATTTATCTAAGGAGGCAATATTTAAATGAATTCATCATTTATTATCTATTTATTGAGTACGTCCTTCTTAAATACTTAATGTAATTGACATTGTGGTATACATAATGTTTAATAATTAATGATATTATATTTAAACTTAAACTGAAACAAGTTTTAAAGTATACTCAAATAATCAAATTACATATTCATACATTTGAAAAATGAAAAATAAAAACTCGAGAGTGCGTGAGCTTATTCCATACAACGCATGCCAAATTGCCCCAACCCGACCCTCTTATTTTGGGCCTCCTCAATCAATTCAGAGTTAAAGGGGAAAAAACATCAAAGGTGATAAAATAGAACAGGAGATTCTGAAGCCTTCATGATCCTATGATGACCCCAGATGAGTGTTGAGGAGAAAACAAAGGATAGATAGAGGGAGATCTGTTTCAGTTTGAAACTTCAACATTTCTTCATTGCAATCTTAGTTTCACTTCATCTCCTTTCTTGTTGGAAGCAACCCAACCCAACATTCCACTTTGCACACAGATCTGTTCCTTCTTGTCACTATCAAAGAACCATCCCTTCATCACCAGCGCCAGGTTCCAATTTCTTCTGCTTTTTCTCCATTGCTTCATTCACAATTTATACTTGACAGTGATGCCCCAACACGTTGCTCCTCTTCCCATTATTATGCACACACCACCTTCTGACCGACACCATCCTCTCCCATATCCACTCAGTGTACTAATCATAATGTCCATTTGGGTCCTGCCCTCTTATTTTTCTCCATTTCCATCCCTCCTTGCTCTCTTAAAGTTTTGTTTTTGGAATTTATTATGATTGAATCTTTTGTAGGAGTTGATGGGGTAACCAGTTGCTGTCTGGATCAGTTTCCTATTTTCGTTCTGAATTTAGTTGTTAATAACTTTGGGCATCTTATCTGCTTTTTAATCTCATGGGTTATGAAAAAAATATCATCTTCTTATTTTTGTTGTACAATGCCAGGGATGATAACTTGAAGAATCAGATATGGAGGGTGATCTTCAAAGTTCTCGATCTCTGCGCCTAAGTCGTAGAGGAGACCGAAGTAATCAAAATCCTGCTAAAGGTGAGGACGGATTGTTACAAACTGTTTCGATTCTTTTGTCTGTTGATAAATTGTTCTCTTTTTCTTTTGTTTCTGGATTAGATGATATTACAGTGAAGGAACTAGATACTTTGGCCTTGGCAAGTAAACTGTTTGTTGGTTATGCAGATTTTGATGTGGGTTTGTTTTCTTCCGGGAGGGTATCTCAAGATTACCCCATGAAGATTGTTTGGAAGAGGGGGTTTGTTCGGTTGGTTCTTGTAGTCGGGATCTTGTGGATGTTATTAATTCTTCTTGCATTATTATTTCATATATGGTCATGCCAAACTTCTGTCTCCTTTTTATCAGGTTAGTTAAGTTTTTGTTACGTTTGGTTACTTCTTTCTTGGGAATCTTTCTCATGTTTATCTCTTTTCTTCTTTTGGTGAATATGTTCATCTCTTGTTGATAAATCTTCTTAATTGTAATAGCATAGAGTCTTCATCTAACTGACTATTCTTAATGTGATATTTTGGGACTTGGGTAGAAGGGAATAAATCACATGGCTTTATATTTTAACTTGATTTTTATAGCTACCTATGACTGTTAATTTTGGTTGTTTCTTGGAATAGAAAAAAAAAAAAAAAAAAAGGTAAAGAAGTTTCTTGTCATTCATAGATGATGGCATTTGGAAAAAACTGTTTGGAAGTTCATTCTTCACTATATATAAGGCTAAGTTTTATATCTCTTTCTCTCTCATATCCATAAGTTGTACTTGTAGCATAATTCTTTAGCAGAATCACAATGGAATTAGAAGGTTAGAAACTCTCTTATTTCTTGTTGAAAATAAGAATAGTATAATATATCTAGGTTTAGAACATTAAATTTAATCTGATGTTCTCTAGTTACTTTTTGTCTATCTTTGATGGTATTTGTATTTTCTAAAGGGGAAGTAGAGCTGCACTTGTCTTATATTTATATATTTAGATAGTTGAAACTCACTTTGGAAAAGAAAATATCTACAATTTGATTGCAAATTTGCCATGAATAGAAATGTCGGATGATAACTTAATGGGAGGTTCTGTTAGGTTATTAAAGGCGCACTTCAAGGAATTTTTTTTAGAATAAATATTCATTGTTTTTTCTTTTCTTCAAATTTTCAAGGTTGTGATAACATTTCTGAATAATATAGCAATTTTCTGCTTTACCTGCAGCTATGTGTAACAAAGATAGCAAGGTTTACACCATGTTAGACACTATGGGATTTGTATCAAAAGATCCAAAACCTCACAGTAAGATTTTAGCGGTTTTGCCTCCATCCCTTCTTTTAGGACTTCACCAAATGGTAACTGTGTGTTTGATATTGGTGCTACCTATATTCACTAGGATGTCCAATTCCTCTTTCCAACGACCCTGATAAAATAGCTATCCCAACTGGAAGAACTCCCAATGAAATTGTCAAAAATCTGTCATATGTTATGGGAGATGATGTTCCAAGTAATGGAGCTCAATCATCTCCTTTGTTTGGAGGCCATCCAAGTTGGAAACAGAGGGAGGAAAGTTTCAAACTAAAGTCAAATATGAAGGTAAATTTATTAGCATGATTTGATGAAGTTCACTTTAGTTGCAATTGTTTTATTATTTTGTAAGATTATGTTGTGTCAGGCTTGTTTCCACAACTAACGAGTCATGTTTTCCCATGTGCTCTGCCCTCTAGGTGCATTGTGGATTTATCCAAGGTGGTGGTGCTGAAATGGACGTTGCAGACATCAAATATGTCAAGAAATGCAAATTTGTTGTTGCATCTGGCATCTTTGATGGCTATGATTTACCACATGAACCATCAAATATAAGCTTTAGTTCAAAGAAGCTTTTTTGCTTCCTTATGGTTGTGGATGAGGTATCTCTGAAATTCATGAGGGAAAATGGTACTGTCAAAGAAGACAGTGCTGGTGGAAAATGGGTGGGAATATGGCGACTTATTCTTCTTAAACATCCCCCCTATGATGAACCAAGAAGGAATGGGAAGGTTCCTAAAATATTAACCCACAGGTTGTTCCCTGAAGCACAGTATAGTATTTGGATTGATGGTAAAATGGAGCTGATAGTAGATCCATTGCTAATCCTTGAGAGGTACTTATACTTGTTTAAATATTTTATGCCAAATCTTTCTGATAATGGCACCATTTTAACTTTGTTTTTCCTGAATAAATATTTAAGCTGCCATGCTTATTTACGAAAGGGGTTTGGGGAGGAGGCATTTGATTTTGAATTTGATACATTTCATGGGGTTATCAGTTACTTAACATAAAAAACTTAACGGGATGTCTTTTGTATTCCCATTTTTCCCTTGGGCATTTTACATTTTGCAATGATGAATTTGATGCATTATAGAAACAAAATATTGGTTTGGTATGCTTGTTATGTGTTTGTCGATTTTCTTTTTGGATAACTATTTGAATGAATCATGATGGGGTTTTCTATGTTGCCCCTTGTGATCTAGTTTGAAACTAATCTTCCCCTTCCTCTCTTCTCAAACAAAGAGTGAGACTTGAAACTGATAAAACTAATGCTTTCTAGCAGAACGGATAAGCTTTTTTCTTTGTTCCTGGAGTTTCCTGGGTTATGTTTATTTGCACTTGACACTATGATTCCTGTGTTGTATAGCAACATATCTATTTCTTTTGAAAACACTAATTCACAAGGGATATTTGTGTCAAACTGGGGATAACTTTGAATGAGAACCTGTATTTCAACCAATGAAATTATTGGCATACACCCTCCCATTGTAGCTTCATGTTAAGAGCTGATTGTGGCAATGTTGATAAAATGCTGACCATATCTATGCAAGCTTTTCTATGTCGTGATAATGGTAACCTTAAAACTACCTTAATTGTGCAGATACCTGTGGCGAGGGAAGCATACGTTTGCCATTGCTCAACACAAGCATCACCGCAGTATATATGAGGAAGCTGATGCAAACAAGAGGAGAAAGCGATATGCACGACCCCTTATTGATCTCCACATGAAAATCTACTATTACGAGGGGATGAAACCATGGAGTTTAAATAAAAAAACCATTAGTGGTAAGACAGGAAACATGACCTCCTGTTTTTGTTTTTTGTTTGTACTGTTTGATTTCAACTATTATGGTAAGAGTAAACAGGAACGCTTTTTCTTCACACATTGTTTTGTCACATTTATCTTAATTTTCTAAATTTGTTCCTATGCTATCACCATGTCGACAACAATAGCTAGCCTTATTTCAATTTGTGAGGTTGACTGCCTTGATTACAAGTCACCATTGGGTTCAGGGATATTATTTTCACCACAAGATTCTTTTCAATAATTTCTGTCAATGTCCTTCTTGGTCTTCTCCTTACTGCATCAGTGCCTTTACTTTTCTTTTTTGCTCATGTCCAAATCATCTTACCAGTTTTTATGTCATCTTTTCTTGAAAGGTTTCACACCAATATTTTCTTGTAACCATCTCTTTCTTGTATGGCCACACATTTATCTTATCGTTCTCATTTGTACTGCTATCGATTTTCTCTTGTCCTATTGAAGTCCAAAATTCATGCAGTTGGTCGAACAGCATATTATAAAGTACTTTCTTCTGAGCTTAGGAACTTTGTATGACAAATAACGTACAATGTCTCAGTTTTAACCACACTACATGGATCCATGGTGTGACATCTACATTAATTTTTTCTCATTTTGTAATATTTTCCCCGATAGTTAAATGTAGAAACTTATGGTATTCATACATAATGAAATGCATTTTCTTCTTGTCTCTTACTAAAAATGCAATGCATATATAATGGCTTACTCCTATTGAAGCAAAAATCTTTGACTCTAATATTTGTCTCCATAGCACATTTTAAGAGTTATTTTTTGTTCCTTTCTTCCACAACCGATGCTATATCATTCATATATTTAGGAATAATCTATTACTTGTCCCTGAGAAGTGTATCCAAAACTAGATTAAACAAGGAATCAAAATGAAGCTTTATTATATACCTACCTATCCTTATAAAATTCTTAGTCTTACCTTAAGTTTTCACATTTGAAGCTATCTCACCATACATATCTTACATGGTCTGGATATGATCTATGCAAACATACTCCTTTCCAAAGCCTTTGACAACATTTCTCTATCACTCGATCATATTCTTTTTTTCAAGTCAATAAAATTCATTTGTAAGTCTCTTTTCTTGCTTTTTATTGTCCAATCACGGTTTTCCCAGCCCACTAGGCCTGAGATTAATTCTACTTGTGATACTGTGATTGTCACTAGTCTGAAGAACACTCGATGAGGATTGAACAGGATTTCCCTCAATTGGAGATTCCACTCCGACTAGAGATATGATCAATTAATAGTATATCACCCTTACAAGCCTCATCTTACAAGCCAGTTAAGTTGGCTGATCACTCTATCCAACATTTCTCCAATAGTTTCTCCATAGAAATTAATTGTTTATCACCCTTAGGCTACCACCACTTGATTCTTGGATTTGTAACTTGCTCTTAAAACAAACATTAAGGTTCAAGACCTGTATTCTGTGTAGTAAGAGTCTTCCAGAATTACCTTGAAAACCTTGCACACTCTACTTAATAGTGATCCTTATAGAAAGAAATCAATGAGTCAATTGACAAAAAAATCCTGTCAACAAATAGCTTGAGGTTCAAAAATGAAAGGTAACACAATAATTTTATCCCTAGTTCTCTGATGACTTGCTGATCTGTATGGTATGCAAATGTCGTGGTTTATGTTGACTTGGAAATTGTTAGAAATATTGTGATAAATAATGTTGTATAGTGTAAATTAGGAAATAAGTATAATCTGGGAAATTACGAGCTGTATAGTCAACATGGATTTACTCACATGTTCTCTCCTACCTCTCTCAACATCAATGCTTGGTGATGTGATATAGTTTTAACAAATGGATGATGTTTCAGATGTACCAGAGGGAGCCATTATCATTCGGGAACATACTGCCATGAATAATTTATTTAGCTGCTTGTGGTTTAATGAGGTTCACCTCTTCACACCAAGAGATCAACTTAGTTTTGGCTATGTTGCTTACAGATTGGGGGACTCATTCAAATTCTTCATGTTTCCCAACTGTGAATACAACTCACTGTTTGTGTTGCACCCTCACACGAGAGAGCACTCTTCTCCCATCGAATGGGTTAAAGAGATTAATCAACTAACGAAGAATAGCAATTTAAGAGAAAGTAGGGGAGGACTAGGCTTGTTTACCCCTTATCCCGGGGATCTTGATTCTGTTGTTCTGCCAAATGTAACAAGAACATCAAAAGCAGGCTGATATTTTTGCTTATTGTTTTAACATATTCAGTTATGTATTTTTTTCTCTCAACAATTTCTTCATGTTTGTTTTGCTTAATCTTAATGGAAGTAAGATAAAGCTCTTCAAATTTTGAGTTTAAAAGTAAACCACCTTTTTACCCATCTAACAGTCTTCTAGACATAGGTCTGGATGAAGAAACTTCTATTTATTGGAGAGAAAATAACATGAAAAAAGTTAAAACAATTTTTCAGAAATTTAAATGTAAGTTTATAGAGTTCTCTTCGATTAATTACTTGAAAAAATAATTTTATCTCTAAATTAACTTTAATTTACGAAAAATTAATTTCAGTTTTTCATCTTAATTTTATCTTTTAACAGGACCTTATGGACACTCAATGATGAAGGTAGCTAGATGGTAATGAAAAAACAAAGTAGAGAGAAAAGAAAGTGAAAACGGATACCGTAAAAGTAAATTTTTTATGTCAAAGCTAAAAAGTTAGAATTTATTTATCCAAATAAAACAATTAAAAAGGTAGAAAAATTAAATCCATGCAATTTAAATTTATATTGTTTCAAATTCTTTAAAATTCTGAAATTCATCATCAAAACAATACCTAACTAGATGTTGATTTGAAGATATTTGTGTCACACTATAATTCCTGATTATGAACGCACAAGATACTTGGATTGTTATTGTGTTATATACTAACAAGTTAGAAAAAAAAACTCGTAATTATATTTCTTTCATAGAAATTGAAAGGATCCAATCAACAAGGTTAAAAACAAATGTTTATAAAACTTTTTATTTTTATCAAAATGTATCCGCATGAATTATTCTTCTATTTGTATGATTCTGTGATAGAGAAAAAAAAAAGTTCAGTATTTGTATAATTTATTTTATGTTGTTATGATGATAATGTGATATAACGACAGGCTCATTTATGTTATTGATAAGAAGAATTGGCGCCGAACACTTTTATGTTATTGCCTAAAATCAATGTGAGAAAATAAAATCACTTTTTCTCCAAATGATGGAAGTTATTGAAGAATAATGTTTCAAACAACCAAAGTTAAGAAAAAAGTTCAGAAAAATATGTAGGTGAATAATAGATAGGATTTTACTTTGGCATATGATTGTAACAATTCAAGTGAAAAGACTTTCTTAAAATCTATTCAAAATAATGATGCGAGTAAAGGTATCAAGCAAAGGTTGGAATTATTGAATAGCTTGGTGGAAGAAATGGAAGGAGACAATGTTAGGCCAGATGTGACAAATGATGGTACTATATATTGTGGTAATAAGAAAAGTGTCAAAGAAGAGAATTAAAAACAAAAGTAATCAGATAGATAGGAGTATTTGTCACTGAAAACGATGTAACCTTTAAGCATACCCGAAATATAAAGTAAAATAAAACGATTTCATTGAACCAAATCATCGAATAAAACGAGTTTTATGATAGTTCAGGTATCTCCATGACCATATATGGATAGCAGAAGTAAATATTTATATGAAACAGAGTTTGGTATCTATTGCCACTCATCGTTGGTAGTAGTTGGTGGTGGACCATCTTTGATCACGCCAACGTAACTGACGACCAGGGATCCTTCCAGATGAAGAAATGTCGCTCTGGGAATTAGGCTGAGTACCTTGTGAGGTCCGAGGCATCCTTGTTGAAGATGTGACCTCTGCGCTTAGGTCTCTATAAAACTGATGCTCATCGCGAGGTGTTCTTAAAGATGATAAATTTGTCCTCCATCTGGCCGTTCTATTTGCTTCTGCCTCCATATCACGGGATGATAGATATGGAAAATTGGTTCTCACCCTACTCCTAGCAATTCTCTCCAGTTGATGCGCTGAAGGTAAATTGGATCTCCATCTAGCAGATTGATTTGCCTGTGTATGATGTGATACCCTGTGCGTTAATCCAGACCTTCTGTCATATAATGGCACTCTGTGTCTTGAAATAGACAACAAACTAGCCATTCGGTTAACATCTTCAATTGAGCTGAAGATTTCATACAAAAACGAGGACATCAAGTCAGCAAGACCCTCCCTCAAAATGGTGTTTCTATTGTATTCAACACCAGAACTTGCATGGATTGAGCTAAAAAGATCTTCCATGCCTCTTTCTTGTTCCATCCTTAACCAATCACACTGACGCGAGGGATCCACCTCTGATGGTCGAACAGAAGGATGCTCAGACCTAGCATGCTTCCTGAGTTCCGAATATGTCCCCTGGAATTCACACGTTTCAGAAGAACAACTCCTTGGTTTTGAATTCATATAGTTTCGAGCAGGCTCCAAAAGCATATATCCATATATTTCTCCTCGGCAAAGAGGGCAAATGAGCTTTGGTTGTAACTGGCTCCCAACATGAGACAAGTGCCCAGGCTCGGACTGAACTTCTCTACTATGAGATACTCTGCTTGCGACAGGAATCTCTTCCAGTACTTCTGATGAGAGATGAGAAGCAAAGGACTTACAAAACTGGTCAAGGCAGTTGGAGTGGCGGTAACTGGTATTGCACATATAAGGACGGCAACCCTTTTCATGGGAAGAACATTTCAAAAGAACACCATTATGAGGGGGTTCCATGCAAATAGGACATCTAGCTTCCTCCCATTCTTTCATTTCATCAACTGATCCCAACAAATTCATAGGTTTATGCATCTCAATATTTTTGGAGTTGGAAGGGTAAGGAAATGATCTATTACAATCAGTAGATGGGGACTTCACTCTTCTTACTTTTGGCATTTTGAAATTCAAGATGCAGTGACCTGTGATATTTCAAACAACCAAAATTTAAATGGATTACTTACAGAAATACCAATTTTAATTGAATAATTAGAGCATAACAAGTTTTTTATATTGATTAAGGGAAACACATCATTGTCCATCTATGTGTCCACATTTCGTAAAAATAATAAAAAGTGATTACCATAACATAAAAACAGTTGACAAAAGACAAGGGTGAAATTGTATAAAAAAAATGTTTATCACGCCAAAAGCACTAACTGAAATTGTTATCCTCTTTATATAGTAGTATAGATAAGATCCACAATTCACATTATTAGAATTTTCTACTTCTATCCTAACACCTTTTGAAGATTGCATACACTTAGCATAATTAGTTGGAACTAGAAAAGGTGCAAATTGACACCAGCAATTACTAGTGACCAATGACCATTGCTCTAACACAATAATATATGACGGCATGGTGTATTTGTTTCATTAAAAAGCATCACTTGATTATCAAATCTATTATGTAAACACACCAAAAGAGGATACAATGCTTGCCACCGACAACAACATAAAAATTAAACTTTCAGAATATTGACTATTACTGCCCAAAATGTCACCTGTTTTTAGATTATGCTCTTCAAAAGAAAGACATAAAGTAAGTAGAGTTTGATAAGACATAAAAGCAAACAATGTCAAATGCATACAAATTTATAAGTTTTAAAGAAATGAGATGGTACAGAAAGCATCAGAAGATATAGCATAATTGAGTTTTGTAATAAATCCCACGGATCAAGAAGTTCAAGCAGTTCATTTTTCCTATCAATATTAATGCAGCTCTAGACATTTATAAGTTGTACATGCTATCTATTTTCGTCATATTCCATAAACAGGAATAAATAATATATAAAAAATTATAAACAGAACATATAATAAAAGCTTGATCCAAATAATTATACTGGAGAACTTATTAACAGCAATTACAAACTATTTAAAACAGACGGAAGAACTTTATTTTGTTAATAAATACTTAATATCAAATAGCACCATGTCACCTAAAGCAGAAACATAAGCATACAAAAAGCCATAGATCCACAAGCTAAAAAGTCATCAACATTCCAGTATCCCCCACCCATAAACTTTTGCCTTGGAAGGAGGGATAAATTCAAATTTTTATCACAATTTTAAAGTGTACTTAAATATTCTGAAATTTGAGTTGTACTAAAGATATCTACTACTACTGCATATCTCAAACAAAAGCCTCAAAACTTAATTTTACAAAGTTCGCTAGGAGTTCTGCGGATAATATTGAAGTGAGAATCAAAGGAAGAAAACCAACGCGTCAGACCTAGTAGCTTTGTAGTATATGAAATGGTATGACTGTTGGAATAAATTAGAAAATATATGTAATCATTATACCTAAGGTAGGAGGTTGAGTGTTAGATAATCTCTGCAGGGGGTTGAGTGTTAGATAATCTCTGCACCTAGTTCTGAGGAGTAATCTAGGACTGTGCATTTAATGTAATCTCCCTATTGTATCAGTTTTTATCTATATAAATACAGAACTATGAGAGGGGTTCTTCAAGCCCTCTAAAAACACTTTTTCTCAGTTTTTGAATATCAAGTTGGTATCAGAGCGGGTCGATCCCGCTCTGCCTGTTTCTGTAGTATCCGGCACTGTTTTTGCCGCTGTCTGCCGCCGGCCACTGTCCAACCGCCTCCGGCCACCGTCCGACTCCGGCCACCGTCCGCCGCCGGCCGCCTCCGGCCACCGTCTCCGATCGTCCAGTTTTCGCCGGCGACCACCGGATCTGAATCGTCTCGCCGTGCGACAGCCAACCCCGTCGGTCCCGGAAGCTTGTTCTCCGCCACGCGCCGCCTCTTCATTTCGGTGAAGTCCAGTAGTCACCCTTGCGAAAATCACTCTTGGGCTTTCGGACTTCTTTGCTGTTTTCGCCCCCCTCCTCACTGGTCTTTGTCCTCTTGATCAGAAATGGCTGCAATTTCATTCTCTGGAAGCCCCTCCATTACTTCCGAAAAACTAAACGGACAAAATTATCTATCTTGGTCTGCTACCGTCGAAATGTGGTTTCTCGGTCAGGGGCATCACGACCACCTTGAAAAAGACGGAAGCCATGTGCCGGAAGAAAAAGCTGAACAGTGGAAACAGCGGATTTTCAGCTATGTGCTCTATTGTGGTAATCGGTGGAACCAAGACTTTTGATGTCGCTTAGAGCCTTCAAAACTTGTCACTCCTTTTGGAAGAAAGCTCAAACCATTTATGCCAATGATATTCAACGTCTCTACGATTCCGCAAATAAGCTGGCATCTCTAAAAATGACAGATCATGATATGGTGTCCTTTATGAATGACGCCCAGTCGGCTGTGGAAGAACTCAAGATGTTCTTGGAAGTCGATTCCTTAGATGAAATGAAAAAGAAGCTTGACAAGTATTACATGGTGATGATCCTTCGCGCAATACATCCCGACTTTAACCATATCGGAGATCAACTTCGACCACTTATGAAGTCCCTTCCATGGATACCCTTATCACACGTCCGATTCGTGTACCAATGTCCGAGACTCGGGAAGCTCGGCTCTAGTAGAACCATCTCGCCATGGTTGCCACACGAGGAAGAGGAGGACGTGGCACCGGAGGAGGAGGACGTGGAGGTCGAGGACGTCCCCAATGCACCTATCTGTAAGAGGATGGGTCATACACGGGAGAACTGCTACTCCTTGCATGGTTTTCCTCCCAAAACCGCCAATGTCTCCAAGGCTGAAACCGTCAACTCCAAGTTCACCGAGGACGAATACCAAGAGTATCTACGGTTAAAGTCTAATAGCTTGGCACATACCTCTCAAACTGCCAGACACATCAACTCGCTTGCATTTCTCAATCTATGGAGGGTCAAAATTCATGGGTAATTGACTCTGGTGCTTCGATCATAGATCCGGTAATACCTCCTTGTTCTCAACCATTTCCTTTCAAGAAAAACAACATTTCATAACCCTTGCAGATGGCTCTAAAGCTTCCTCAAAGGGAGTGGGCCAAGTTTCTTTATCTCCCTCCATAAGCCTAAACTCGTCCTTTTTATTCCTAATTGTCCTTTCAATTTGATTTCCTTAAGTCGATTAACCAAAACCTTAAATTGTTCAATAACCTTCGATAACAAATCTTTTGTTATACGGGAGCGTGGTTCGGGGAGACAGATTGGAGAAGGATATGAAGCTGGAGAATTATACCTTTTTGGTCCTCGTCCACGTGTGTCCTGTGTTGCTACTCCGGAGCCCTAAAATGTTACATGATCGGCTTGGCCATCCTCATTTGTCAAAATTAAAAAGAATGTGTCCTGAACTTAGTGGTCTCCGGACCTTAGAATGTGAGTCATGTCGGCTAGGGAAACATGTTAGATCTACCTTTCCTAAACGGTCTCAATCACGAGTGTACTTCCAGTTTCTCTATTATCCATTCCGATATTTGGGGACCCAGTCGCATCTCATCTTTTGGTTTTCGGTATTTTGTTACATTCATTGATGAATATTCACGATGTACTTGGGTTTATCTTATGAAAGATCGCTCCGAATTGTTACCCATCTTTACATCCTTTTTGAATGAAATTAAGAATCAATTCAATCAAGTAATCAAAATTTTAAGAAGCGACAATGCTAAAGAGTACTTCTCATCCACCTTTTCTACTTGTTTTGAGTTCACATGAAATATTGCATCAGTCCACTTGTCCTCATACACCACAACAAAATGGTATAGCAGAAAGAAAAAATAGACATTTGGTTGAAACTGCACGTACTCTTTGCTTGGGTGCTCATATTCCTGTCCATCACTCGGGGGATGCCATCTTAACCGCATGTTTTCTTATTAACAGGATGCCATCTTCCTCTCTCGGTAATAAGATCCCTTTCTCCATTCTATTTCCAAATAATCCTCTCTTTCACACATCTCCTCGAGTTTTTGGTTGTGTATGTTTTGTTCATGATATGTCTCCCGGGTTAGACAAGTTTTACTGCTCGTGCTATCAAATGTGTCTTCTTGGGCTATTCCCGCCTTCAAAAAGGGTATCGGTGTTACTCTCCCGAAACCAAGAAGTACTACATGTCCGCCAATGTTACATTTTTTGAACAGACTCCTTACTTTTCTCCTTCGTTCAAGATGTTCATGTCATACAGCAGGTTCTTCCCATTCCAGTAGTTGAGTCTAATATTTCCAATGTCTCTATCGATCTCCGTAGTGATCCAAGTCTTCCTGAACCATCCTCCCCTCAAATTGATGTTGTCAATCATAGGACCCCGATGGCTAGTCCTGTTCTCCAAGACGAGGGTGAATCCCCCACTTTAGATTCTTCTCCAACATCGCTTCCTACCATGACTCCTGGTGGAGGTGATTCAGGATGGCCCATTGCTCTGAGAAAAGGTACTCGTTCCACTCGAAACCCACATCCTATTTATAATTTTCTTAGCTATCACCGGTTGTCGCCTTCCTATTGTTCCCTTTTATCCTCAGTATCTTCTATTGCTATTCCGAGAAATGTGGAAGAAGCACTTGATCACCCTGGATGGCGACAAGCCATGATTGCAGTATGCAAATTGCATCGTTCTCTATATGGCCTCAAGCAATCACCACGTGCTTGGTTTGGAAAATTTAGCTCCATTGTTCAAAAATTTGGGCTAAGACGCAGTGAAGCAAATCATTCAGTCTTTTATTGTCATACATCTCTGGGTAAATGTGTTTACTTAATAGTATATGTTGATGATATAGTCATTACAGGAAATGATACTGTTGGAATATCTCAACTGAAGGAGTACTTGTGCAGACATTTTCAAACCAAGGATTTGGGAAGCCTAAAATACTTCTTGGGCATTGAAGTAGCTCAATCAAAAGATGGAGTTGTAATCTCTCAGAGAAAATATGCTCTTGATATATTACAAGAAACAGGTATGATTGACTGTAAACCTGTAGAGAGTCCTATGGACCCAAATAAGAAATTAACAACAGAAGA